GCCCTTGGGTGAGACCTTTGGGATCCTCTCCCCTGCAGGCATTTTTTTTATGTTTAGGAAAACTAGCTGCATAATGCAAAACTCCAGCTCTGTCTCTCCCTGCATGTTTGGTCCTACTTTGGCAGGAGGTGGCATGGCATTAGAACAACCCAGGCGAGCCTTAAGGCAGTCATAGTGATGGGTGGTTGGGCAGTGTCTGCCTGGGCCCATATTTTTTGGGGGATGGGATTGTACAATTATCAGACAGGTCGTAAGGAAAAGCAGCACCAGATAAGGAGGGCATGAATAGAAGACAGCCAGACACACAACTGGGGGATCACAAAGGGAATTCAAGGAAGGGGAGGACAAACATCTGGGTATTTCCTTTCCATAGGGGCACAGCATGTCAGCAGAGTCCCAGGCAGGCCAAAACAGCATCATTCCCTTAACCTGCCCATAACAACAAAGTATGGGGGTCAGAGATTGGGATAACATATGACTCTTGTAAGAATGCATGCCTGCATATACACACGTGACCCGGCTGCAGTGGGGCTGGTACTAGTTCTACCAAATGGTCTCCGTTCACAAATGACCATCGGAAAGGATTGTTGCCTCATTTAGAATAATTCTCCTATTCTAACTCATAGCATATTGCAGTCCTGAATTTGCTGCAATCTAGAACATTCTGGTATAGGATCACATTGAACTCAATGACCTTTCTTCCTCTCCAAGCTTTATGACTGTATTACTTCTGGGATTTTGACCAACACTTACAACTGCTTGTTGGGGGAACACAGCATTTCAGTTAGCAGAATATGTCACTCTAGTGTAACTTTTAGCATACTTTCCCAATGAACTTGTGCATTCAGATAAATACATAAATAAATTAATAGCCATTCTCACATTATTAAAAAAGTATAATCTGTACAAATAGGCTTGAAGGAACACAAGGATTTTCAGGGCAGAGAAAGAAGGAACTGAAGTGAAAATGATTTCTCTAAGGCAGTATTTCCCAAACTTGACAATTTTAAGGCCTGTGGACTTCAACTCCCAGAATTCCACAGCCAGCAACGCTGGCTGTGGAATTCTGGGAGTTGAAGTCCACAGGCCTTAAAATTGTCAAGTTTGGGAAACACTGCTCTAAGGGGAAACCACCTGAGATTAGGTGTGGCCATCCAACATTCATCACTGGTGATGGGAGGAGGAACACTTTCTTCAGGCAAGGTGGAAGCAGCACATTTGGAAGTGAGCATGAGATGCAGGAATCTTCTAGAAACCCTGCTAGGCAGCGACATTTTGTAGGCCACAGCACTGCTTCCAGAAGAGGACTCTTCAAGCTACTGGTCAAAGGCATTTCATAGCTATTCCCTTTCCCTCATTTGGATTTTTGCAATTGAGAATGTAAATAGGAGAATTGGTAGGGAAATTTAAAGGATAATTCCAATGGCAGACAATTCCATCCCCTGGTAAAAATTGATGCCTGAGGTAGCATGAAGTGTAAGAAAAGCCTTCATGATCTTGAACTGTGTGCTTCTAAGAATGATAAAGAGCAGGAAATATTCTCAAAAGTTTTGGACTTTGGGAGAAACAGAAATCAGATTTAAAGAAACACCCATGCTGTTTTTCTGGCTGTGGTGCTTGAAAACCATACAAACGTAAGTTCTCCCTTTGTTCACAGCTCATATTCACTGCGGGTTAATTAGTGTTTCCCTTGGATCACAAGGATGTTGGCTTTACCTTGTCCCCAGTGTTGAAAGAAAACTCTTCAGGGTCCAGTCCAAGCTGGGAATAAACAAAATGGAGACTGCTTTAGAAAGAATGTTCTAGTTTATTGAAGAGCAGAACCACAACAGCATGTGGCTCTGGAGCAGCTGACCACATGGTGCTGGGAGTGGTGGGTTTTTATAACTTCTTGGGCTTTTGTGTTTGGAGTTGTTCCTGTGGGCATGAACTTTGACCTGAGGTTCAGTGTGCCTTTTTTGTATTCTGATGGTGGTGGGTTAATCCCATTATGTCCTAAAGGTCATGTCCTGCTTCCCTGGGGCTGTGGCTGATGGCTATGTTCTGTGTTGAATATGTGGGTGAGGGGTTGCTGGTTCTAGGAGTCCTTGTCTTTCTAATCCTATCAGCTCCAAGCTTCCTGGCTCCAGTCTTTCTGAAAGGATTATCAAATCTGTATTTCTACAGAGCTGGTTTCTGCTTGGGGCAGAGAGACGTGGGGTGGTAGTGATTTATGCCTAAGAGTTTCAATGATTCCTTTGGGGAAATATAATCTGCCTTTTTAATATTCCTCAAAATATTTTCTTCTCTGGGGAGGGGGCTTCCCACATTTAGTTCTTCATTTCATTTTGTAAATAGAGATAAAGGCAGCAGTTGCTGACATTATTGCTTCTTTGAAGCAAACTCATTGTTTATTCAGTGTTATCAATTTGGAAACCTTACACTGGGGTTCAAGTTGATTGTTGCATTAGTGCTCAGGGGAGATGTCTGCAATACATCTTTGTGTGTGTGTGTGTGTGTGTGTGTGTGAGAGAGAGAGAGAGAGAGAGAGAGAGAGAGAGAGAGAGAGATGGGGGCAAAAATTGTTTTCAGAGCATATGCCTTGTCTCTGTTCTTTTTCCTAACTTTGCTCTGCTTATACAGTAGTGTGACAATTCAGAGCCAAGCTACATTGGACTGCAGTAATAAGTTGGTGGCACAAGCACATCAGCTCCAAGGAGTTCCAGTCAATCTGAGGTTGGACTTGTAAGCTTTGGGTTTTTCCTTTTTTGCAAATGGTGCTGGAAACCCCCAAACACCTGATTTGGGCTCTCTCCAGCATTTCTTCTGGCTAAGCTGCCAGCTTGCAGGAGTGCAAGAAATAATTCTGCTGCCCTCTGCTGGTGACAATCTAAAACTTATTTTGGAACTGATAATGTCTAAATGGCATTAGGGCAGTGCTTCTCAACGTTTGTGTGATGGCGACCCCCGTCACACAAACGTGCCGCGCATGCGCGGCGGCGCCCCCATGCATGGTGCGCATGCGCGGCGCGCCCCCTGAGGGGGAAAAATGGCAGATCGCCTTGTTTGGTGACCCCCAAGAAATGGTCGATCGACCCCAAATGGGGTCGCGACCCATAGGTTGAGAACCGCTGCATTAGGGCAATGGATCTGGTTTTGGAAAATAGTTTTGGAAACAGGATTGTGATAATGGTAATTGATATATTATCTTCCTCCACTGTGATATTTTATTCCTCTAGATAGTTGAAGAAAGCCTCTGACAAGCCTACAGTGCAGTCTTTAAATAAACACATGATTTGCTTTTTGGTAGGAAACCCTGAGGAATGAGGATTGTATCTTTGCAAAGGCTAGGAAGCTCTTTTTAATTTTGGGGGAAGCCTGTAATGACCAGTAGAGTAATACATACCTGGCATGTTTGGGCTGGGGATAAACTCCAAGAGACTGTAAAAGTGTTGCAAGATTGAGAAAATGAAAATGTTTGGGGTTCAACTTGAAAATGGAACCCTTTAATCAAAAAGCTTTTCTCCATAAATCTGTATTTGTGTTTTGCAGCTTGATTACTCTGTAGTGAAGGTAACGAATGCATCCACCGTGTTCCTGTCTGCTGTATTTTGCCTAGCACAGGGGTAGGCAACCTTGGCTCTTTTATGACTCGTGGACTTCAACTCCCAGAATTCCTGAGTCATAAAAGGGCCAAAGTTGCCTACCCCTGGCCTAGCATAAAACCCGGAGTCTGCAGACCATTGTAGCTTGGCTCTGAAGTGTCACACTATACTCAGAGCACTGAATTCTGCAGGAAATAGATAATTTTTAGAAAATAAAACAAGACTATACCCAAATAGATGTGTATTTTGAATATAAGATTCTGTTATGAACTGAGATAAGGGAAACTTTGGTTACCTAAAGCCTGGAAACTATAAATATCAAATGTTAAATCTGAATATTGATGGGAAACTTAAAATTGGGGAAAAAAACAATAACAGGACATTGATTGTCTATAACAGTGATGGCGAACCTTTCAGAAACCGAGTGCCCAAAAACTGGTCCTGCCCCCGCTCTACTCCCTACTCTGCCCCTGCTCCACCTGCCCGCAGGGCCACTCACCGCCTCTAGGGACTGCCGCAGATTGCCCAGCAGCACCATGGCAGCCACACCCTCTGCCCACACACCGCAGCATCAACTGTGCATGATGGGGCATGAGGGCAGATTCTTATTTACACTGCCTGGCTGCCATATCCTTGGCTGCACTGCTCCGTGTGGGCCATGCTTGGGGGCGACTCTTCTCCAGGGGGGCTTCTGGTGAGGGGGTCGCGGGGCGAGACAAAGCTGGGGCAACGGCACGTGTGCCACAGAGAAGATTCCGGGTGTTGCCTCTGATACCCGTGCCATAGGTTCACCACCACTGGTCTATAAAGCATTGAATGTAAAACTAATTAAGATATGTATAAGCTGAAAATTTATTGATAAATGTAATAATGATGTTTTTACTTGGTTGATATAATAAGAACTATATTATCTTAAATATGAGATAGTAGATACTAAGGGAAAAAGAGAGGAAATATTTGATGTTGTAACTTGAGATTTGTACTAAAGATTTTTGTATGTTATTGAACTATTGATTTACTCAGCTACCACATTGCTTTTAAATACTTAAATGTAAAACTAGAAAACTAATAAAATATTATTTAAAAAAAAAAAACCCAGAGCCTGCAGACCATTGTAGCTTGTCTCTGAAGTGTCATACTATAAGCAGAGCACTGTTCAAAGTGCTGTAGGATCATGAGTTGCCTGTACCGACAAGCGAGCTGTACCCAGCAGTTATTAATAAGGGCAGCCCTTAATTATGTTTCTCAAGTTAGAGCAGATCAATTTGAGGATACCGATGGTGGTTGTTTTAATGGTAAGACAGCCTGGTAGGAGAAGAAATTACAGGGGAAGAAATTTAGAAAAGGGAAAGGGGAAGAAATGACAAAAGACCACGTTCCTGTTAGTAGCTAAGTCGACGCCAAAACAGACACATCTGGAGTTCTACCTGTGCCTCTTTATTGGGAGAAATTTATACATGTGTAAAACAGCGACTTGCGCTCAGTAAAAGTATGGGGGGGGGATCTTTCCCAGGAAGATCCAAGGCTGGTTGGCAGTCCGCGTCCCATCCCACCGCACCCAAAGGCTGTTTCCTTCTTCAGGTGAATAGCTTGGATATTTTACATCATATGCTGCTCTCTTTTGCAGTCAAGTATCTCGACACCTGGTGCTCATTAGAGATGGGAGCGAGAGGAGGTTTTCCAGCATATTCTTGTGCGTCTCCTTTCTTTCTGAAAATGCCTCGTTAGTATGGGGGGCACTTGACTAGGCATGGGGCATATGTTGTACGATCATGTAAGGGTCTTCCTGGTTTGCTGCTTGGGATCTGAGGGTCATGGCTGGGCATCCTTTGCCCCAGAGATTGGTGGTTTGGTTTTAATCTACCGTAACTTTAAGCAAGGATTTGCCACACACCCCTCCCCAACACTTTGGGAGGAGAAGCCGTCCTACACCCCCTTGTATCAACAGCCTGTGTCCTTCAACCCATGGACGGGCATCACAGGGGATGTGGGAGCTCCTCACTGTATTGCAAGGGGCCTTCAGAGATTCTTCTTCCAGGGATGTTACTATCTGAACCCTGAATGCTTTTGGAGAGAGGGGACAGATGGAAGGAACAGGTGTGGTGATGAGAAGTCTGTACATCTGGGAAGGGAGTCCCTGAGGAGACTCAGGGGTTCAGCCACCTCCTGCTGGGCCTGGAGGGAGCCTGAGCTTTGATGTCTTAAGGTGCCTGGCAGCACCAGCAGTTCTTGGAGACACCAGCAGGGGGCAGCTGCAATGACAGAGAACTAGGTGGCTAAAAACCATTGGGGGGCCCCAAACACTTATGTACACATTTACAGCTGTGAAAGAGGAAGAAAGATGCAAGGAGGGGTGAGGTAACAGGCCAGAGTCTGTACAGTAAAGGCAAATAGCCTGGAACTCCCTTGAAAGAGCAGGATTTGTGATCTTGAACCCTGTTTTGGACACAGTTCTGGCGTGGGCAGCAATACGTGAACAGGGACATGGAACTGCCAAACGGCAGATACTGAGAGACAGAACCTGATTTCTGCCCTGAGACACCTCTGTGTGCATGTAACATTTGGACTAGGGGTAATGCATGTCTGAATGGTCTGGATGTGGGCAAAGGGGTGATTGGATGGGCACAAAAACAGGAATACAAATGCTGGAGAAAAAGGGAGAGTCAAGTGAGAAATGCTACAAAGAACACGTTTTCCCCCAAGTGGAATCTGCAGCCAAAGGAGGTTCGGCTACAGAGGCTTGTAAGCAATTGACTGGTCAGTCTTGTCCCATCCGACTGGGCCTCGGGGTTATTTTGCTTCCCTTTCTTGAGAAGGCACCTCTACTTCCCAGCATGCTCCATTTCCCCCAGTGTACTTCCTCCTATTTTGAGGGCGAGCGCCGACTACCCCGAGCTTATTTTGGATCAATGGAGCTGCTCAGAGGCCTCCTTGACTTTGGCAGTTCAGCCTACCTCTGTGCTTCGGTATGGGGGGGGAGGGGCACCGATTCTTAGAGAAGGGCCAGGGTTAGAGGGGGTGGGGGTGGGGTGGGGTGAAAAGTGTAAGATGCTTTTGGAAAGCCTTAGGAAGTGGGCGGACATAGGTTGGTCTGGCTTCAACGAGGAAGGGCCATTCGCACAGGTGGAATGTGCTGTGCCCAAAGCCATGCTAGCAGCCCTTCTCCCCTATGTGGGAGTCGGACTAGCAAGCAAAGTCTTCAAAGACCCCCTGGGGCGAGTAGTGGTGGCGATGGTGGTGGTTAGGCAGGAGGCCTGTAGGGTAGTTGCCCTCAGAGTGATGGCCCAGGGTCTCACAGGAGCTCTGTAAAAGAAAACAGAGAACAGCATCCATTCATATCTTCCTACCAACTTCATCCCAGGATCAACATTAGAGAAGCTTGCAAGAGATACCAGCAGATTTTACCAAAGTGGCCCGTCTAAGAACCATGTGGGTAACAAAGAGTTATAATAAAACACAAGGTGTCAAAGTTAAGTCTCTTCTTCCCCTCCTCTATGTTGCTGAATGATGATGTGCAGAAAAGTGAGGCAATGCAGAGTAAAGTGGTAACACCTCATCACCAGAGATAAGCAATTGCGGTTTTCCAGATGTTGTTGAACTCAACTTCTACCAGATCAAGCCAAGACCTCCCATGGTACAGGATAGGGAAAGCTGTAGTTCAATAATACTATATACCACCAGAGTCCCTCTATGAGGGAGATGGCCAGTTCTTAAATATGATAAATAGATGATGATATATGATAAATAGATATGTAGATAGATAGATATAGATTGTATTGTATTGTATTAGATTAGATTAGATCTCTGATCACCATACCACAGTGGATATTACAAGGAAATAGAGGAGACAATAGATTTTAGATAGAAGCTAGAGTTATCATCCATGTGACAAATATCAGCAACTCTTAAATGGCACCCCAATTTTGAAATAGGCCTTCACTATATGCCACTTTCTTTTATTAGTTTGCTTGGGTCAATTTTCTCATTGCTCAACCTCCAGTAGCATTCATCATTTCCAGTGTTGCTTCATTATCCCTCTATGTTCTACCTTCCCTTCTCCCACTTCTGCTAAATTTGCATTTTCCTCAAAGATTTAAAATGGAACTGCAAGAAAGGGAGAGAAAGAGACCCAATGGAGCAAGAATATAGGCTTGGAAAAATGCCACACTCCATCACCTGAAATGAGTTTAAAATTCCAGATATAATTACTAGTTAGTTTGGCTATAAAATGGTTGAGAACATACCATGCCCTGTGTGATTTAACAAACGAAATTAAATGATAGCCTCATAGGGAAAAACTCTACTTTGGCATTTTCACATCATCAAATTCACAGAGAACCCGTGAACTCTGAAACAAGGGATGAATGTTTTTCAAAAAAGAAAATTTATGAGGAAGATCAGGAAAGCACTCAGCGGAAGGTATAAGTAAGGCTAGTGGGAACCATTTATGTTGATTAAATAGTAATTTCAGGGTTAGTGGGATTTTCAACCAAGAAAGTCATTGAGATCCTGCATCAGCTGCTATAATTTGAGGATACATGAAGCGTTAAAAGTTGAAAGTGTTTTGTGGGACTATCAAAGCCCCTTCTACGTTTCCTATCTTCAAGAACAATTTATGTATTTTTTAGAAGTGTGTATGTATGATACCTAAAATCAGGGCTTTTTTTGTCACAGAACGCCCAGAACGGAGTCCCTGCACCTTTTTGGGATGGAACCTTGTAGGGTAGGCAAGGCGGGTTGTATGACATGTGTGAGTCCCGGAACCTTTTTTTTTTTTTTTTTTACAAAAAAAGCACTGCCTAAAATTATTATTAGATTATCCTGATTTTAAAAATATATAGAAGGCAATGAATATATCTAATGCTCCTGCCTATTTCCCCCACAGCCCTGTGAGGAGAGTTGGATTGATAAAGTCACCCAGCCGGCTTTCATGCTAAGGGAGGCCTAGAACTCACCATCTCCTGGTTTCTAATCCAGCACCTTACCCACATCCACTGGATCATCTTAGCAGGTGTCACTCCAGCCCCCTTAAAAATCCTCCAGTGAGGGGGTTTCTGGGAAGACTGTTCCATTGCTTAACAGCTTTTATATTCAGAAAACTCCTCCTGATACTCAGTTTAAGTTTCTTTGCTTTTAATTTCAATTTATTCTAAGTTTCAACAGTGAATAAATTTCTCTCTTGCACATGACAGCTTTTAGATATTTATAGACCATTATCGTACCATTCCTTAATCTTCTCTTTTGTAAGTTAAACATGCCCAGATTCCTTACACTTCCTTCATACAGTTGGGTTTCCAGTCCCTGATCAGATAAAATAGAGAGTGCTCTCACGGGTTTTAAAACATGACAGGCTGAAATAGTTTTTACCAAATAAGAAAAGAAAAAAGCAGAATTAACTTTTCAAAGACCAAATACATCATGCATCTCTTAGAGGTTACCCCAAAAAGTATTGAAATACAAGTATATACACAGTCCATGTTGCATTTGTGAGAGTGGGGCCTGAGAATGCAGAACTGTTGTTCCTCACAACTACACAGTAAATCCTTGGAGAGCCTGCACCAAGGTTTTGCCTCTGAAGATCCATTCTTGAAATGTCTGGATTATGACAGGGGGACTCTTAGGATTGGTACTATGTCCTGCCTCTCCCAGCACACTGATGTAAAAGAGCTTCATGATGTAAAAAGGGATTTTGAAGATGGAGTTGGAGAAGTAGGAGAAGGACCAGGAGTAGATCTGAATGACGCGACCTTAGCTCTTAAATACGCTGCACTCTGGCATTTAGCGGATTGCCATCATTTTTTCTTTACATAAGGAACAAAACCGTTGCTGCTTTGCGTGCCACCTGCCATTCTGTCCACAAGGTGGTGCTGTGGCTATGCAGCCAGGCAGGTTGGAGCTTATTTTTGCCTGTTTACTATTGATAGGTATTGATCGGAGGCATCTGTTGCATCCTCCCACTTGGAGGTTTGGCCACTAACATAAATCTACTCTGTCTGATATACTCTGCTCCGAGCTCTTTGATCATGTTTTAGTCTGGAAAAGTCTGCAGGGGCAACTCAGAACCTCTGAGGTGCCTGTGTGGGTAATCAGAGGAAATGTGTATAAAATAGCAGTGATGGGGATGTGGCCAGGCACAGGATCCCCCATTTTGTGTTTTTATTCTATATGATCGCCCTTCACAAATATCTAACTGAAGGGGGGGGGAGAGGGAGAGAGACAGACAGACAGACAGACACTGAATGAGAAACTAGGAAGGAAAGAAAATTCCCCATAAAGAACAGGACTGTATCATTTTGCAGGGGGGGGGGCTCTGCTCTGCAAAATAGAAGTGAAATGGGAGAAACCTCCCTTTCCCATAAGAAATTTCTGGCCTCTTGCCTATTTGGGGAAATGGAAAAATTGTTGAATTTTCTTGCATACAAGTTTTTTTTGTTTAAAAGAAAAAAAAAATACCTGGAATTGCAAGTCATTGCAGACCCAGTAACACCCAAAGGCACTTGGCTGGAGATTGCAACTAGCCAATGCCATAAAGTTTTTGAAGACAGGCCTTGCTTCTTTGCTTTTTCTCCCCCCACCCATCTGCCCTTACTGTCAAATCTTTAACACCCCTGGAACCTGCCCAAATCTTCAACACCCAATTGGAACCTGCCCAAATTCAGCCTAAAAAAAACAACAACAGCTTCCTCATACTGTATTTTTAAGCCCAAAAGCGTGGGAGATGGAACAAAGGATTTTCTGTGCATAAATCAAATATAAGCTTTATCTTGGAGTTTTAGTCTATCATCTTGATTTGTATACCTCAGCACATCCAGAATATAGAATAAAAGCTGAAACAATACACAAATGCACAACTATATAGCTATTATAACAGGTATGTCCTCTCCAACATAGGCATACGATAAAAAAACTGAAATCATGGCCAGATGTTTTGGGGAGCTGTCCTGTTATCCTCCAAACAATCAGCTGTAGGAGAGTATTAAAGACAGGGGTCTTCAAACTTGGCCCTTTTAGGACTTGTGGACTTCAACTCCCAGAATTCCTCAGCCAGCATGTCTGGCTGAGGAATTCTGGGAGTTGAAGTCCACAAGTTCTAAAAGGGCCAAGTTTGAAGATCCTTGATTAAAGAGGTCTAGCTAAATTCCTATCACTTTAAGGCTGACTCACACGGAGTCAACCTGAGTGCGAGAAACAGAAGGGCCTTATTGGTTGGGAAGAGCCACCTCATTGTAAGGCTCCCCCAGGAAACTGATGCAAGGGCAGAATTTACATCATTCGCTGCAGCTTTCTGGTCAGAATCAAGCCAAGAACAAGGACTCCTTCCAAAGAGATTGGGTCTGGGTTTAAGCCCATAAATCCATAGCTCTTCAGTGCAATAGAAAACATTGTTCTCGCTCCTTGTCCTCTCCCCACTGCCCTACAGTGAGAACAGCCTTCCCCTTCTGGTCTTTCAGAGGCCTGTTCAGAGGTCCAGGGGTAACCAAGTAACTCATTCACTGGGGTAGGAATGAGGGCCAGGGGGCTTTTCACTGCCTTGAGGGCTCATTTGGGGACATTTCAAGCTGTGACTTTATTTACAGCTTGTACTGCAACCACGTTGCATTCAAAGATTTCTAGTTTTTATTGACTTAAATGTTGGCAGCAGCAGGAAATTAAAGTAAACTCAGCTGCTAATTAGTTATTCCTCATCGGACAGCTCCAGAGCCAGCAAGAAAACTTGGCACGTTTGATGAGCCTTCAAATGCCTTTGCCGGCTGTATTTTATCTTTATAGCACATCAGACTCTTGAGATATTGGATGTAGCAGTGGATCAGCTTACACCATACAGGCATATGGTCTACGCCACTCATTCCCCAATATGTTCACAGGATTAAAAAGGGCAATAGGGCTTGCTTCGCTTGTGCAAAATACACCGAGCCAGCTCCAGGATCGGCAGGGGCAATAGAACAGGCTTGCATAAAAACCTGCCTTTCCTCTCTGCTGCCTTTTTTTTTGGTGTTCTGAAATTCCTCCCTTCTGCTGCCTTCCTGAGTCTTTGTAAAATGAAAAAAAACCCAATGATGAGGTTGCAAGCGCTTGGCTAATGGCAGGGTCAGAGGAAGTGCAGAGTCATACTGGCCTTGGCCCAAATGTTATGATCATCTCCTGAATTCCTTCCTGATGTCTTCTCCTTCAGGTGATGATAGACAGATCATGCAGCTAGTTCCAAGGAACAGATGCTCTCCATTGAAGCATTCATTTGTGGATGGTTGTCTTAAGACAGGCTAGCCCAGGGGTAGTCAACCTTGGCTCTTTTATGACTCGTG